AACAGACTCCATCAATTCTTTTCCTAAGCGCTGTAGTTCTGCGTCTTTCCCCGCTGATTCATTCAAAGCAGCCCTTAGTTGATTTCTTGCACTGCTTTTTTCTTCTAGCAGATTAGAGAGCCTAGCTCTAAAGTCGGCAATTTCAGCGGCATGACTCGCAGTAGTTAGCCTACCTTGTTTCATGAATTCGTCTTCCAATTCTTCTATTCTCCTTTGTAATTCTAGGTTTTCCTCCCTAACAGCATCAAGGCGACTGGTGATACCACCTTCTTCCTTGGTTACGTCGTCAAGGCTGCGCGTAAGGTCATCGATGGTTATTTTCATGTATTTCCTTTTGAAGCGCTTCCTTTTCAGCTCTTATTCCCCGCAAGTAACTCACCATACCTTCAACCGCGTCGCTATTTGGGGGAAGTTCTTCGAGTTCTTTGCTCTTTTCCTCTTCGACAGTTTCTAATTGTTGAAGTTTTTCTTCTCGCTTACTTAGCAATGCGGCTGCAGACCTAAGGGTCTTTTGGTAGTTAGGGTTCAAAAGGCTCTTGAGATAAGACCTTTGAGCAACTTCTGTTTCCTATTGAGTCAAAGTGCTAAGCATCGTCAAGTTGGGCGTCCCCAACGCATCCTTGATTCCTTTTGGGAGCTGGTTGTTTAGCAGGGAGGAATTCTTTCTTTGATACAGGTTGTGCCATTTTTCCCTACCTGCTTCTCTAACTTGAGCCTGCCCTTTGTCTCCTACTTGAAACTCCAAAGGAGCTAGGTTTATCCCCGGGTATCGTTGTCTTAGGTCGTCGATGATGCCCGTTATTAACTCCGACTGCGCGCCAAGGTCTTCCATTTGTAAATATTCTGGAATGGGCGTGTGGGGATTCTTAGACCTAAACTTGTCTCTTAAAGAACGCATAGCATCGCGGGCCCTGCCGCCATACTTGCTCCTTAATTTCTCAAAAAGGCCTCGGGGGTCCACGTTGTCATCAGGAAGCAGAGTCTCGTATTCTCCATCGTTAATGTCGACTTGGCCTTCTTCCGTGGTGGGTTCAAAATCCGTTCCTTCTACTTCCATTATATATGATAAGCTCAAAGTTAAACCCCAACGTATTACCTAAGCAGGTTGGCGGACTAAAGGCAGAACGCACCTTTCACCGAGTCACATTCACCCCCAGCAGCGCAAAGCCAGGGGAAACCTTGTACATAGGCGTACCCCGCCTAACGGATAACCTAGTATTGGTTCCTGGCACGTTAGCGCTAAGGTTTGACCTAACGGTGCAGCCCAGTACTGCGGATGAAAGGTGTTGCGTCAATAACGTAGGCCGTAACCTCGTCTCTAAGATGAGGGTTAAATTCGCCGGGGAATCCCTTTTGGACTTGAACAGGTACGATCTGTACGCTACTTACAAGAGCCTATGGCTAACGGCCTTTGACCGCGCGCAAAGGATAGAACAAGGAATTGGCAGCCTCGTCCTGCGTAAGGTCCGCACGCCCGTTAAGACGCAGCCCAAGGACTCCAGCGGAGAAACGGCAGTAGCAGATGCGAAGCGAATAAAGACGGCCTATGGGACTAAGTATGTCATCCCGCTGGACTTTGAAGTGATTGCGAACCATGGTGTGTATTACCCCAGGCAACTAAGCGAGTTACAGTTTGAAGTAACCCTGGCCGATACAACCAACATCCTTGGAGAGATGTCCACCGCAATTAGCGGGGCCGTTGATCCTTATTCTATCACCAACTTAGAGCTTGCAGTACGAAACGGTGTACAGCGAAGAGTTGGCCCGCAGCGCTGGCATGGAATACAGTGCCGGTAAGGCATTCCTTTACGACCACGTGGTAATGTATAAAACATTTAGCTTTCTGGATAAGACGGACGAGGTTATCAACCAAAGCATCAACCTCCCCAGGCGTAGTCTCACGGGGCTGATGCTGGTGTTCGCCAAACCCTACGAGGCCGGCAAGCGCGACTCCGAAGCCTTCCACAACCCCGGCATTACTAACGTGGGAGTAAATGTCAACGGAGTACCTAACAAGGTGTACTCCCAGGGAATAAAGCCCGCAGACGTGTACAGGGAAGCAATGCGCAAGTTTGGCGAACAAATTAGTCCCGAGGAATTCTTTAAGGATAAATATGCGCTGTGGATCGACATGCGCACCACCAACGACGAAACCATGCATGGTCAGGGTCTGCGGTTGGTCAACACCCAGGACGGCATCACTTTGGAGATCAAGCGCACAAAGAATACCTCCGCGGACGACGGCGACAAAATAAACTGCTACGTCTTCGTTGTGTCTGACGCGCAGCTAAGCGTAGAAATGAACCAACTTAAAAGCGTTGCTTATTAAAATATTCCTCAAATATACCATGTTACGCATATTCGAAAACAACGATACCAAACTGCAATGCATAGTGCAAGGCGATAAACTGTACTTCAAGGCGAAGGAAGTGGCTGCTGCGTTGGACTATGAGAACACCAAAAGGCTATTAGAGAACACGTTTCTGAGAAATACCAGAAAAGTTGGGCCGACATGCAAGGGGTCCCAAGTCGTTCCCCTTCTACTATTCACCCGCATTCCGTGTTTATCTCCGAGCCTGGTCTGTATCAGTTAATATTCAGCTCCAGGCTGCCCAAAGCCGTAAAGTTTCAGGATTGGGTGCTCGAAGAGGTCCTCCCCGCGCTGCGCAAGACAGGTAAGTATGAAATAGAGCGGCGTTTTGACAGCCCAAACAAGTTGGTATTCAAGATCGAGAATGAATTTGACCTGCATAAGAAGGTAGTGGATTACATCCGCAGGTTCTACCCCCAGATGCTAATYGCACCCGGTCTAGGAGAACTACAGGACACCGACAGCAAACGCATAAAGTGTTGGCAGAAAGGATATCAACGGGGGCAGCGGGATCTGGTACTCCTAAATGCGCATGTGCGATATAACGGCTTCTGTTTGGAGCTAAAGACCCCTAAAGGCAGCGGGGTATTATCTGAGGATCAACGTAAAGTACTGCAGCGGTATGAGCATAACGGGTTCAAAGTGTCTGTTAGCAACGACTACGACGACATTTGTAGGGATATCATGGAATATTCCCAAGGTATTCGTCTACCGTGCGCCTACTGCCGCAAAAGATTCAAGTCCACGGACACTTTAAAAACGCATTTGAAAGTATTCCATAGGATATATGGCTTAACGCTGTAAAACAAATCCACTGGAGGGACTTAAAGGAAGGTAAAGTGTATGAAATAAAAAATCATGTCGCGTTTGAGGGCATTGACCGCTTACGGTTGGTCCTCAAAGACGACAAAGATGTATTATATTCCCTGTGGGTGCCTGACAGGCTGCGGTACGTTGTTGAAGGGCAGGAGTTCACACATTTGAAGTCCTATGGTAAGAAAGACGGCAGGTGGGAGTTTGACGTGGCTAAGTGTCTTCCTCCTTCTCCTCTGCATAGTTAAGCGCGTCTACCATCGTACGCCGCGCCTTTGGGTCGGCTGAGCACCGGTGCCCCTCAAAAAATGCACTGCCGCAATGAAGGCAGTCGTATTTTTTACGCGGTTTGGGGATCGGTTGGGTCGAAGGTATTTGTATGCAATCTTCCGGGGGTTCGCATGTACTACAGTTCATATATTGAAAGGGTTATTAGGAATCCTCCAAAGAATGCGGTTACGTGGGCTAGCATATATCTGAAACTATTTGAAAATCCTCTCAGAATGTTACGTGGGGGTTAAATTCTTGTTAAGAGACAGTTGAATATGTGCTCCTCTTCTCTTACACATCCACAGGTCGCACACGGCTGCCTCCAATATTCTCTGTTAGTCCATGGGACGCCTTCTAAGGCATCAAAGTGGGGCAATGTCCTACTTATCTTCCTAAAGTAGTCTATCCTATTCCTTAGTTAATCATCTTTATGCTCACAACGACTCATAATATCTCCGCATTGGTAACAATCCACTCCTTCTAAATCGTACTTTGTAAAGAAGTATTGATATATTTTCTCATGTTTCTTTTTATGCGTTTGTAAACGCTGACGACTACTAAGAACCTTAGCACAGTAACTACATTCTGTTGTTCTACGGCAAATGCCCTTCTTAACATGCTGCTGTAGTTTCTGCAAGGTACTGAATTCCCTATTACAATCTATGCAAACCCTACTGGCGGGTTTCTTCATACAAACACCATTTTCAACGTGATACCGCAGTCTTTGCTTGGTACTGAGTACCTTCTTGCAGTTGGAACACTCCATATATACTTAACAATATTTTAACCTCCATACAACATTCTGAGAGGATTTTTCAAATAGTTTACAGGGGATACCTCATAAAGTCCACGACGGACTCTTTGGCCCACGTTGCCATGGTTATCAAAGCGCCAAACCGCTCTGCGCGCTTCACACCGCACATTTCCTCATATAGCTCCTTTACGCGTCCATTCAGCCGGTCTATTTCCTCCCTTTGCATCTCTACGGTTCTTTCCAAGTCTGACTTCCTTTTGACGATGTTAACCATCTCTATAACTGCTTCCACGGTCTCCATTATATACAATGGATCCGAACCATATTCCTTGTAACGCTCTGATAGTAGGACCCACCGGCTGCGGAAAGACCCAGTTCGTGGTAGAGCAGCTGTTAGGACCCTTTAGATACCGTTTCGACTACGTAGTGCTGCTTTGCCCCACCTACGTGAACAACCGCACCTGGACGGGCGTAGGCGTAAAAGATGACGACTTCTTTGTAGATATCTTAGACCCTAATGAGTTATCTGGGCATCTTAACTTTTGGCATAGACAATTCCCCAAGAATACGCAAACTTTGCTCATACTGGATGACATTGCCTGCGGGGATGACGTGAAAAGATGCAAATCAGAGCTTCTTAAACTCGCTTTCAGCGGCAGACATGACAATATTAGCGTTTGGTTGCTCTCCCAGCAGCTTACCAGCGTCTCKAAGCCTATTAGGGAAAACATAGGTTCGCTTGTCGTATTTTATACTCCAAGTAAGAACGATCTGGAAACCATTTTAAGCGACTACGGCGGCGAGATAAGCAAGGAAAAGTTGCACGAATACATGCGGCACCTAAAAAC